CTGCTGCTGCAGCCAGCGGAGACCTGTTTCTGGATCTGGTCCTGTACCGTGGGTGTTGTTCTGATGGAACCTGTGATGTGCAGACAGGCCATTTGTTAAACATGGGTGAGCATCACTCTTGCCATCCCAACTTGGACTCAAACCCACCACACCAAAGCAGCATAGCATATTATGGGGTGGACTTTGGCCATGTACAGGGGTTAGACAATGAAACTGAAACACCTGGTTTTAGACCATAACATCCCTTTCAGACAGCTTCCTCTTGCGTCCACAGTTAATCCTGTTGGATGTGATTGGTCCTTCTTGGTGGTATGCTGACATTACCCTGGAAACCGTGGCTCTTGACACATCACAAAGACTTGCTGTCTTGGTCACAGATGCACCAGCAAGACGTGCACCAACAATTTGTCGTCTTTTGCACTCTGGTATGTCACCCATAATGTTGTGTGCATTGCAATATTTTGAACAAAACTGTGCTCTTACCCTGCTAATTGAACCTTCACACTCTGCTCTTATTGGTGCAATTAATGAAAACTGGCCACCAGCCTGGTCCAATTTAGCCATGAAATCTCCCACACTAAAATGACAGGTGTTTCAGTTTCATTGTCTAACCCCTGTATGAACAAAATGTGTGACAGCTTTCACCCTCAGCTGTTAACATTAACGTTGATCAATAACATTTATAGAAGTGCTTCTAAATTTAGCCCATAAATTTAGCAAATGCTAATCCACTAATAAATTCTAAAATCAGCAAAAGCCCTAAAGCACTAATCAAGAAATTAGTTCCCCTATTAGTGCTTTAGGGGAACTGTGCCCACCACTGATGGCAACACTCAGTCCATTTTAAGWGCTAATGTATCAAGGATGCATTAAATGCATGGATATATAGAAACAGGAACGCTTGTGTGTCCTAATGTGTTTGTGTCTCTCACCTGTGTGATCCGAGGATGGGTGCATTTGCTGTTGAAACCATTGTGCTCTAGCCACTGGTTCTCAGGGAGGGGGCAGTGTTGCTTGAGGGTGCAGCGGTTCTCTCCTTTGCACCAAACGCACCCAAACAGCGGGTCTGCTTTCAGACACAAACCACAGCTTCCGCGCTGGGCGTCACACTTATACAGATGGACTGCAGGAGAAAAAGAAAAGAAGATGAGGATGAACGATTCATGACAGAGGAATGGGAAGTCATAGTAAATACAACACTTATTCTGAGGAAATTCTACTCAAACATCAAAGACCTAAACAACTGAAAATAGCCTCTTACCAAAAGCTTATTTTTTAATTTATCATCATTTCCATACACCCTGCTCCCTCCTCCCATTTCACTTAGTTTCCTACAATGCTGCCTCCTGTCTCTCGTCACCCACCACACATTTAACATATCATCTCCATGGCAACAGACCAGCCATTTTCTTTTTAATTGCCATTAGATGCGCGTGTGAAGTGCCCATCAAAAAATGCCCTGGGAGATGCCTCCTCCGCAGGCAAACAAAGGTAGGAGGCAGTTTGAAGAGTCTTCTCTATTTCAAGCTTCTCCTTCCTTCTGTGTAACTTTTGTTGCTWCTTTGATTCAGCACTTATGCTCAAGGATATGTTTTGTAGACAGTGTTTGACTCAGATAGATGCACAMAACCACAAACATTTGACAAACTTTGCCTTACAGCACAGTGTCTTTTTAGCATATAACACACAACAAAACAACATTGTAAGCATGACTCCTCTGCCTTTGGTAGGAAAAAGAAAAAAAAGTAAGCTGGTTCTGTCAGAGAACTACAACCCCCAGCATGCTGATGTTTTCCTGTTACAGCATGAATCACAACAGTGGTGGATCGCCACTGGCCAAACAGAACAAGTGCAGCAGCTCAATGTTGAATTCTTATTTAAAAAAACACTGTAGAGAATTGTGACAGATGTGGAGATGTGTTACTGTAAAGAAA